CACTTATCCCCTGTGCCAACTCCCGGCCCCCGTAGGTGAACTTTGCAAAAAATCGATAAAAATCGATAAAATCGATATCGATCGATGACGAAAAGTAGCCTATGACACCCGCCGGGGCCCGAAGTGCATGGTGTGCCAAGTTTGGTTAAATTCAGTCTGCTGATAACAGTATTACCATTTAGTAGCTTCCAGGTTTCATCTTTCGTAAACCTCGGCATTGTTAGTATATGTGTGAGTAAGTTAGTAAGCCGACCGAGGTTAGTAGATGTTTACTATTGTTAGTGGCGGCCTGACGTTTCGACGTGTCCGTCTTCTTCAGAGGCCTAAAGTGGTAAGAGATTTGATTCTATGTCCTACCCCACCACAAACCTCCTCCAAATCCGACCAGCCTCGACTTTACCCCCCCCCCCCCCTAAAGTGTTACAAGCAAAAATACGCAAGCACGTGAAAGACGAACCAACCTCCTCCGCCGCTGCCGCCCAGATGTTAGATGCGGCCGTCCTTCGTGCCACCAGTAGTAATAATGAATACAGTGTAAACTATATTGACATTATTTACTAGTGGGAACTGGTGGCACGAAGGACGGCCTCATCTAACATCTGGGTGGCAGCGGCGGAGGAGGTTGGTTCGTCTTTCACGTGCTTGCGTATTTTTGCTTGAAACACTTTGGGGGGTAAAGTCGAGGCTGGTCGGATTTAGAGGAGGTTTGTGGTGGGGTAGGAAATAGAATCAAATCTCTTACCACTTTAGGCCTCTGAAGAAGACGGACACGTCGAAACGTCAGGCCGCCACTAACAATAGTAAACATCTACTAACCTCGGTCGGCTTACTAACTTACTCACACATATACTAAGTATTACCATTGATCTGTCGCTGATGACACTTAGACAGTATACTACAGGAGTATGGTAGAAAACCACTCTGATCGAATTTGTTCTAAGATCTGCTCAAGATCACAATACCGCCCACAGAAAGTCAAAGTTACCGTGAACTTCGCGGATCCAGGATTTCCGCCAGAGTGCACGAAATCCGGGAAGTGCGCGACATTTCAGGATCCGCGAAACCATGCGAATCACGCAGAGTACGCAACGCCATAACTTCATTTGGAATGAATATGTTCCAAATCCAGAAGCAGCATTGTGTTCAGACCGTCGAGGCAAATATTTTGATGTACAGTATGCTCTCCATATTCCATTTCCAGTTTTTTCGAATTTTGTCTGTGGAGGTCTTTTCGCAAGGATGTAATGCAGCGTCTGTGTAACATAAAAGATTCCAGTAAGCACTGTTCGATAGTACTGTCCTTGTAGGTTATCGTGCATTCAGAGTAGCTGCAGAGTATCTTCAAAAGGCATAGA